CACTAATGCTAAAAAGTGCTGCTCTATGGATGGCTGGCGGCATTCTTAGGATTCAACCTGGATAGAACCTGAGGGAAAGGATGCTTCTGAAAGTCACACGGAAGGTGTGGGAGGTGTGGTCAGTATTGGGGAATATGTGTCAGGAAGAGGGGAGGATTTTTGACAAGCAAAGAGAAGCAAAGAGAAGGATTTTTGACAAACAAGAGCTAAACCACAAGAGGGCAGGGTGGCTTCTGGGAATGTGAATCGAATTTTGTTCGGCTGTAATGAGGGATGCTTGATTGTAGCTGGAAACGGGTGTGAACTGTTGGCTGGGTGTGCGTTGTGAAGGGCCTTGAAGGAGAGTTTGGAACAGGCACTGGGAGTCTATGGGGAAGGACAACAGTTATAATGGAAAGTTAGCCCAGGGGCTCTGGGTTTGCAATCTCATTCTACCAGTAACTTGCTTGGGCAAATTAACCACTCTGAGTCTCAGTTTACTCATCTGTAAAATACCTTCTTACAGGGTTGTAAGGATTAAGCAACATGATGAAATGTATAACTTTCACTTGGAAACTTTAATATATGCTTTTATTTAGTGTTGTTGTCACTAGACTGTGCATTATGAGGAGGTAAGGACTGTTTTATTCATGCCTGAATTCAAACACCCAGCCCAGTGCTTGCCATGCAGAAGGTACTCAGTAAATATTTGTTAAATAAACGAATAAGTAACTAGAACTTGATATACTCATATAATAATTATTCAATAATTATTAGTTGAAATCTGAATAGAGGTTTTCTGGTAGGAAACTACCATGATCAGATCTCAATCTTCGAAGGGTAAGTGTGGCAACAAGGGGGTGGGGAATTTGGAGGAGTCAGAGACTGGAACAAGGGGAACCCCTGGAAGGCTTTGCAGTAAACTGGGTTAAAGGCATTTACCAAGATAGCATATTAAAGGAGGATCAGTCTGTAATCCCACACCTTTGGGAGGCTGAGGTGAGTGGATTGCCTGGTTAACGGCATTTACCAAGATAGCATATTAAAGGAGGAGCCCAGGTTCCGTGGCTCAGTCTGTAATCCTGCGCTTTTGGGAGGCTGAGGTGAGTGGATTGCCTGAGCCCACAGGTTCGGGACCCGCCTCGGCAACTTGGCGAGACCTCCTCTCTACAATAAATCAAAAAAATTAGCTGGGTGTGGTAGCGTGCGCCTGTAGTTCCAGCTACTTGGAAGGCTGAGGTGGAAGGATTGTTGGAGCCCAGCAGGTTGAGGTTGCGGTGGCCAGGAGCGGCCACTGCACTCCAGTCTGGGCGACAGAGTGAGACTCCAACTCAAAAAAATAAAAAAATAAAGGAGAAGCCGGAGGTGCGGTGGAGGGTGAGGCAGGGAATAATTACCTGTTGAGAGTGAAGCTCCAATGGGCAGTGGTTGAGCTCTCAGGGACCTGTGGCAGGCATCCATCTGGAGACACGTAGAGAGAGTTATGAGCCCTAAGTCTGTCAGGTGTGGTTGGTACCATTGGCGTAGATGAAACCCAGGAAAGCAGGGGCATACGGGTGGGGGGCGGGGAGGGGTGACCCCAATGAGCTAAAGGGAAGACAGGGGCATAGGCAGACCAAACGAGTGCTTCCTAACTTGTTTGTGATGTCAGTATGATTTATATGAGAGTAGTCCCAGGAGTAACCGTGAGGCCACAGAGTGTAGAATTCAAGGACTTGGGTTCTGGAGTCACATCCAGCCAGCTCAGTATTAGGCTCTACCATTAAGTAGCATGTGTGACTATGTGCAAGTTACTTAACCTGCCCGAACCTCCTTGTTCCCTCTGTAAAAGAGAGATAATAACTGCTTCCTCATAGGTTTGTTGCAGGCATTACATGAAATGATGCACATCAAGTTATTAGCACAGTACATGTATATACTAGCTAATAATGATTTCAAAATACATCTCAAGGGCAGGGTGGCACCTCACCCTGGTTTCTAGCCTGTGAATGTGTCAGTGGATCTTTAGGCCCTAAATCTGATCTCCACCCCGACACTCTCCAGTTGGGCACATGAGCAAACCTGAAGTCCAAAGCTGCTCAAGATACCAGCTCAAGCTGGGCTTGGAGCTGCATCTAGAGTACCAGCTCCTGACCTCCAGTCCTGTTTCACAGCTTTTCTAGAACATTCAGAATCACAGGGTGGGTCTTACAGGGAGATCTGGCCATGTGACAGGATCGTATTTGAGAAAGGAAGAAAGTTTAAAATAATGTCTTTTATCATCTGACATTTTGAGTTAGGAAAGTGGCCCATTTATCATTTCAGTGAGCTTTCTGAAGCCTAGCTTGATGCTGTGGATTTAGGGCTCTGGATGCTGGACTTTAGGTCCAGCCTCATCTTTCTGGGTCAGGAGACAAGAACAGCCAGTTCCTATCCTTTGTGTGATCAGCTCTCAGAGGCTTAAAAGGCTATTGCTCAGTCTCTTCCATGCTCCCTCCCACTTCCCCGGCTGAACTATCAGCACTATTGATTATTCATAAGAGGCTCAGACAGAGTCATTAGAAGCTGATGGGCCCCTGTCTTCCACGGGGCTTCAGTATGGAATTTTCCCCCTGGAGTCTGGCCAACTTGGTATATTATATATGATCTTTACTTATTTCTTCTAGTCCCAGGGTCCCTGCCAGCAGACTCTCTTTTGCTGACTTCTCACACATGGCTTCCTTCCAAGCCTAGATTCATCTACAGGTGGGGTAGGATAGGTAAGAGACATTAACTAGAAATCAAGAGGCTTTGAAAATAATGAGCAGTGATGGAACAAGTTACTTCCCTTGGTTTTCTCATCTGTAAAATGAGCATAATACCTGCTCTCAAGATTATAGAATAGTCTAAGTGAAGTAATGGTTGCTAAAAGGGCTTGAAAAGCCTTATTCAGGTGTCAGGTTTTCATAATGTTTGAATGGCAGGGAATAGCACCCTAAAAGAACACAATGTCCCTGAGAACTTTCCTAATCAAGTCTGGCATCTAGTGTGTTGCTTACATGAAGAGACTTACGCTGACTCTTGGGGTACCCTGGCTTAGCATTTGAAAAGGTTGTTATGAGCTGTATTTTGAGATTGCACATTTTGAGTGTGGATCCCTGCTGTTGCACTGCTGAGCTCTCAGCATGACTCCAAGGACACAGTGTGGCCACAGAGAATCTGGGGCCTGTCTTTCTTTTTTCTTAAGTATTGGATTCCCACTGAGCAAGGAGGTCCTTTTTCTTTAAAGAAAAGTGTGTTTCTTAGGTGCCTGGACAAAGCAGGTAGGCTGTTATTGATGGCCCAAGGATCATGGAGAACCCCTTCTCTATGGGAACCCCCCAAAACAGCCTCTGAAATACCCATTTAAAGAAAAGATTGCTCCAGACAAAGCTAGAACCTACCTTCAACCCCATTAATGTGAAATCTTTCCCCACAAACACATGGCAGCTCACCATAGCCCCCAGCCCTGGTTGTCCACCTCCACTTATTTTCTTCCTGCCAGAGAAGATACCTACTGGTATTGACAGGTTTCTTGAGCCGAGGGCGGCCAGCCGGCTGGGGTGCTGACTCTCAGCTCTCGTGTTTGTGCCTGCCAGGCACACACAGGCTTCTGGGAAAAAGACTGTGTGGGAGGATGAAGCTGAATTGGGCTGCAGTTTAAAACCCTCTTGAACACTGACGAATTTGGCTGAGGTGGGGGAGACGAGGGTTCCTCATAAAGTAACCAGCACTTAAAATGGAGTTGGCAGCTTGGTACGTGGGGGCTGAGTCTAGTCCTTGTCTTCCCAAGAACTGGATTGTTTCAGATCTGCAGGAAAAGCCACACAGGCTTAGACAGACTCCTGATAACTTCTCCCAGCCACTGTCCAGGGCACTCCTGGAGTTCACAGATCATCAAGCTCCATGAGCATGGTGGCAATGCCAGACCCTGAAGAGTGTGTTTTCTTTTCTTGGGACTCCAAGCCCCACTGTATTTAAAGGTGGCAGAGTGCCCACCACCATAGTCTTATCTCTGCTGAGAGTCTGTACATCACAGTGGCTAAGAGCATAGGCCCTGGAGTCACACAGATCTGGGGCTGAGTCCTAGCACACACGTCCTATTTGTGTGACTCTGAGCCTCAATTTCCTCATCTATAAACCGTCTCCGTCTCAAGGCTATTGGAAAAATTAAATGACAGACTGCATGTAGATCACCTGGCACATACAGTTGTTCAAACAGTGGTCGCTATCACTGCTATTGTACAAACATGGTCTGAGACATTGTGGTGGTGTTGCCCTAATTGCTTTGAAGGATTCAGTCCTAGATGGGAGAAGGTGTTCCTTCTTGCAGTGAATGGGGAAAGGCAAATGAGCGGTCCTCGATGTTAGGAATGTCAAGATCTGGTGACCTCTCTTGGCCAGACTATAAGGAAAGTGCACAAACAACCTGGGAGGTGTCTGCAGGCTCCTTTGGTGTCATGAGGTTTCCCAAGGTCCAGTCCTGTGGGTAGGAAGGTGGCTTGCTCCCCGGGTTGCCATAACTTTGCATATGATTTGCATGTGCTTGCATTTACAGGTTTCCCTGCAGTTTCTTCTGGCATGTCCAAGTTAAAATATTGCCTCTTCCCGGGCAGGCCAGTCATTGATTTTCTTCTCCAGTTACTGCTCTAGCCACTCTGATTGACCCAGCCAATGGGGGGTGGGGTGGAGTGGGAGGAGGAGGTAGATGGGGGAGAAGGGAGAGGGAATGGTGTTGACATTACAGCAGCTTCTACCCTGAACCCAAGTCACCATAGAATAGGTTCATTTCAGAAGGACAGCATAGGATAAAGAACAGAGGGAGCTCCCCGCCTCGGGTTCATCCTGGTTCATTCCTTCCCTGCATCCTTGACCTGACCTCTGGTGCCCTAGGTCCCCTGCCACCAGCGCATGTGGCACCCAGGCCCTGGGGAGGGGGGAGGGGCACAGTGACAGCCCAGCCGGCTTTGAGGAACCTTGCAGAGGAAGTGGCTTCAGAACTGCACTGCGTGAGGGGCAGGAAAGGGAGGCGGGGGAGGTGTGGAGATGGCGCTCTGCAGCCGGGTAGAGGGAGGGAACCGGCGCCGGGGACATGAAACCGCAGAGGCCGGGCGAGTTGGAGAGTGAGGCACCCCGGGCTGTGCTGGCGCAGGCGGCTGGGGACAGGAACAGGTGACCCGGCTGCCTTGAGCTACTCGCACCCCAGTGAAAGAAACGCAGGCACCCACCGGCTCTGCCTGGCCTGGTAACTGACTAGCTCCCTGCGGGGCTAGGGCTCGCTCCCCGGCAGAGCCCTGGGAGGGGTGCCCACCTCCCACCCCGCATCCCCAGCGGGGCCCCTCCCATGCGCTGGCGGCCTCGGGGCCGGGGGCTCCGGGCTAAATGACCGTGGACTGCAGCATGAGCAGTGGATACTGCAGCCTGGACGAGGAGCTGGAAGATTGCTTCTTCACGGCTAAGACCACCTTTTTCAGGAATGCGCAGAGCAAACATCCTTCAAAGGTAAACATAATAATAGAATCCAAGAGCTTTTCAGGGGAGTGGGGAGAGGCAGATAACTCTCATCTAGAAGGGAAACCTTGCTGGGGCAAACAGGCAAAGCCATGTGTCAGGAGAGTGTCTTGGCAATTCCTTCCGGACCTAGAAACCGACTGGAACTTGCACTCTGAGCAGACTAGAGGCTGGATTTGGAGCCCTTCAGGGATCTACAGTATTCCAGGCAGCATTTCCTGTCCCTAGACTTCTTTAAAATGGCTCTCTAGGATTTGGAGACTGCCTTGCCTCATGGATTGGCTGCATGCTCACCTATGCCTGAATGGGTAACCAGACTACTGCTCAGTCTCATCCCCCTACCCCCACGGCCTCCCAAATCCAGCTTAGAAGTTCTAGATGGAAAGTGGATGGTACCCAGTCCCTTAGTGGGATTAACATTCCTAGGTTGAGACTTGGCCAGAAACCATCGTAAAACAAGGTCGAGTAACTTTGCAGAAGTCCAGGGTGTTTTAGAAGCAAACTAAAACTTCTCTCCTAGGCCACTGTCATGCTGCCATTTTAAACTTCCTGGGTCGGTTTGGGTAACCTAAAGAGGCTTGTGTGTGTTCCCTGATGGGGTTGTATGTGTTTCCTAAAACTATCACTCTCTGGACGCCCAGCAAGCCTGGGAGCCCTGGCCATTCTCCCAATTGGCTGCAGAGTCTCATGTCTGCCAGTATCTTGGTGGGAGTGGGGGCAAAGCTGTGCTTGTTTATTTGTTTTGTTATTTAGATGAGAGGACTCCAAGCCAGGTTCTTAGAGAGGTTATCCAGAAGGGGCTATTTGTTTTTTTGGTTTTTTTTTTGAGTTGGAGTCTCACTCTGTCGTCCAGACTGGAGTGCAGTGGTCGCTCCTGGCCACTGCAGCCTCGACCTGCTGGGCTCCGGCGATCCTTCCACCTCAGCCTTCCGAGTAGCCAGAATTACAGGCATAGGCTACCACTCCCGGTTGATTTTTTGGATTTATTGTAGATGTCTTGCTGCCCAGGCGGGTCTCGAACTCGCGGGATCAGGCAATCCACCCACCTCAGCCTCCCAAAGGCGCGGGATTACAGGCTGAGCCACCGAGCCCGGCAGAAGGGGCTATTTGTAAACAGAAGTGAGCTGCCCAATTTCACAGGTGTGTGGCAGGTTCATCATTAATTCAGCAGTCCTCCACCAATTTGAATTAACCGAAAACTTCCCCATGTCTAACTCTGGGGCCTCTTTTGTTAATAATTCATCCTGCCTGTAGGCCCTGCATCTGCTGGGTTCTGAAGTCAGGCAAACGCACTAGACTTTCCAACTGTGAGAGGACGCCCAAGGACCAAGGAGAGGTTGCGATTTTATGTTTTATACTGGTCCCTGGAACCAGCACCTGTTTTCTGGGGCACACCCTCATAATGCTGGGGAAGCGGGTATGTTCCAGAGGGTGAGGGGCAAAGGGACAAACATTCTCTTCCCTGGTTGTAGGTGGGGCTCATGTAGCACACCATGGCTACAGAGAGGCACTGTCCCACCCTCTCTTGGGGTTCTTGCCTTGTGGTATGAACCTACCCTTCCCCCACAGGCACTTTAGCTGTCTAGGTCTGTAACACAGGGTGTCTCAACCCTAGCTACACAGTGGACTGGACTCCCAGGGAATTTTAGAAAATTCTGATGATACCTGGGTCCCATGCCCAGGGAGTCTGATTTAATTGGCCTGGGGCACAGACTGGGCATTAGGATTTTGAAAAGCTTCCCAGATACGCAGCTGAGGTTTTGATCTCTTACTCTAGACATTTTGTTGCTGCCTGGGAAGGAAATGGTTCCTTTTTTTTTTCTTTTTTTGCTATGTTTTCCTCTCTCTGCTAGCCAGACTGTGAGCCCTTGGTTTCAGAGAGTGAGATTTTTGCATAATTGGGTGAGGAAGGGACTTTGCAAAGCTGGGGTTTCTTTTACTTGGCAATTGAAAAAGCTGCTTCTGATATTTCTTGGGAGAAATAGAAATATCTTACAGAGAAATACCCCGGGATGGGGTTATGTTGGGGATGGTTTGTTCCATGACCTAAACCGCTTTCTCTCTTTATTGCTCCCCCAAATCCCAAATTCTCCTTCATAGCATCAGTCCAGAAAATACACCTTTGGTTTGGTGTCCACAGAAACTCTTTTTAATTTGTCTGTGTCTTGAATCCATTACATATCTTGAGGCCTCTGTATATCTCTCTACCTCATTTTGCCAGAGTCTGTAAGTCCCCAGAGGACAGGAATTCCTTCTAAGAAATTCATTTTGTTGACTCCAGACAAGGCGATAAGGAATAAAAGCTTCACGGAGGGAAGGGGTGGTGGGCACAGCTCCTCTCCTCCCTGGCCTCTTCTCAAGTATGAGAAGAATCTTGACTGAATATTCAGAACTGCAGTCAGGGACAGTTTACCTCAGCATCAAACTGACCTTCAGCACAGAACTCCCCAGGGAGGGTCAGGTCTGTGTGAGTCAACTTTGGGGTGTGGGGGGAGTTGTAGGGGAGCTGCTGGTGACAAGGCACGGGCTGTGAAGAGTATGTGTGGCTGACCCAGGAACTTGGGGCACTTCCTCTAAAGGTTGCACTCTTTCATTCTTCTACGAGTTTTTTTTTTTTTTTTTTTACCTTTGATGTTTTCCAGTTCTCCAGCTTGATGTCACTTCTGGAAAGGGTTTCAAAGAGATCTGCCATATACCAACCCCTAACAATGCTTTTTTCCTATCCAAAGAGAGATCACGTTTGAGCCCCTAAGAAAATTTCTTTTTGCTGTCTCCAAGGAGAGGAGTTTATGTGTTTCCTGGTCGCTGAGAGACTGAGGCCCCCATTGGGGAAGGCTGAGCTGGCTTCTATAAATAGCCTTGTCAGAACAACCTGTGTCTGCCACTCAGTCTGTGCCTGGCTGGAACAGAGCTCTGGGGAAGCCTCGCTGCTGTGCGGGCGGGTGCCACCACCTGGAAGTCGTCACTAGCCTGTCTCCAAGGAGTTCCACTGTCCAATCCCCTTTGGTGGGAGGTGGGAGCAGTGGGGAGGGTCTCCTTGTCTCACAGAGAGGAGGCGCCTGAAGGTCAGAGAGAGCAAGGAAGAAACAGGGACCATGCCTTGGGCCCTAGCTTGGCCTCTCCTTTCAGAAAATGGCAGCTTCCTGGGGCCGTGTGCCTCATTTGAGAGCGGGAGAACCTGGTTTTGAGTCACACCACACAGTTTCAGGAGGCTGAGGCGGTACTCTCCTGCTTGGCTGGGCACAATGAGATCATGTTTCCTGGGTCATGCATATCATAACGAGGCTTGGGGAGAGCCAGCCTGTGTGCTTGGACAGTGCAGACCTGGATGGGCTCAACTAGGCATGCACACAGTTACCCAAGTCTAAGGTGTTAGCTCGAGGAGTCGCAAGGTCACAAGGCAAGTCGATGAGAGACCCAGGGTTATTACCTATATCTGTTGCCTTTCAGCCCAGATAATGTTCTGCTTTAGTCCCACAGAAGGCAGGGTTTGGGGATTTGCAGGGCTGGTGTTTGTGAAGCCAGGCCAGGCCCTCTGGCCATTCTTGCATTTGTTTTCTTATTCCCATCTGAGATCTGACCTTGGAAGTGAAACTTGCTTTCAGTCCCATCAATTTCCCAAATGCCTACAGGTGTGAGGAGGGACACAGGTACTCTGAGACCCCAGGACTCTGGAGCCTACCCAGAGCATTGGGTTGAACACTCCAAGGACATATAAAACCTGCTTCTTGCAGAAGATCAGAGCATCTCACTTTTCAGATGGAGAAACGGAGACCCAGAGAGGTGGAAGGACTTCACCAGGACATGCATCTGGTTGGGTAGAGCCAGGACTAACACCCTTCTGGTACCCTTTGTCAAGTGCTCTTCTTGTTGTTTTTTTCTACTCAGCGGGTGACCTAGGACAGACTGTAGGCCTTGTCCTCTCAGAGCCTTCTACAAAATAGAAAGACTCAAACAAGTTCAGGATGGGTAAGTTCTTGAAAGTTCCTTACCATTCCTCTGTTCCATAAGGCATACTAGCTAAGGGAACGCTGGCCCTACATTTAACACTAGCAAAAGGTCCCTGCAATCTTATAACTTTAATTATTTAAAAATCCTTCTTGGTGTCTATCCCCAAATTGAAATATTTTAATAGACAAACACCTGTCTTCTTGGTGGAGCTTTTTCCTCATGTGTGTTTTTCTCTGTGGATATAAGGAACAGAAGATTGGCTATATTTATGGTTAAATATTATACTTAAGCACATGGAGAACACACTCCCATCCCCCATCCCTCCATCCCCCAAGGCCTTTTCTGGTCTACAGTAACACCACTGAGTTTTTTTTTTCCAGGATGAAAGAGGAAGGGAGTCTTAGAGGTCAGGACACCATACCACTCCCTATTCCAGTCCTGCATTTGTTCATCTCCTCTTGCCTGTCCAGCTGGCTTCTTCCCGGACAGGGCCTCTGTGGTACTCCAGAGATACCAGGCAGCCCTGACAGCCCTAGAACAAGTTGGAGAAGTCCCCATCTCTCTGCCAGCAGCAGGCACACCCAGGCCTCAGGCATGGCACCTGCCCCTGACCACCATGGCATGAGTGAAAAGAAAAGATACTAAAAATAAGTTAACCTGAATTTGAGCAATAACAACAAAACAAGAATTCAGAACCATGGGACCACTTAAGTGTGTTTTTATGTGCCACCTAAAAGGCTTACATGGCCTAAGACTAATCCCAAAGTGTGAAGACTGATCTTCACACTGGCATATTCACATTGGCACAGTCACGCAAAAGCCTTCCAGTTAGGGTTAGTCTATAATACACTCCTGCGGATGTCACTGTCTGCTGCCTCCTCTGGCCTTTACTAGTATCTCAGCCACAGCAGTAAGATCAGAAATGGTATCTCCTTCAGGTTCAACACAGTACCAAGTACTTGGTTACAAAAGCAGGTGCTGACTAAATGCTGGTTGAGTTTAGCTGCTACATCTTTTCTCCTGTATCCTCTGTAATCAGG